AGAAGATCAACTTCAGGAGTGTGCACCCTAGTTGGGGGTAACCTAGTCTCATGGAAGAGTAAAAAACAAATAGTTGTGGCAAGATCAAGTGCAGAAGCGAAATATAGGGCCATGGCACATTGAGTTTCAAAACTTCTCTGGATCCGTTCTCTGTTAGAAGAAATCGGTGTACAGGCAGAAGAACCTATGATACTATACTACGATAACCAGGCAGCAATCAATATTGCCCATAATCCAGTCCAGCATGACCGTACTAAGCACATTGAAGTAGATAGACATTTTATCAGAGAAAGGGTAACTTCTAGAGAAGTTTGTCTTCCATACATTTCTTCTGATCTACAGCTTGCTGATGTTCTCACAAAAGGTGTTGCGAAGAATAAGCTAGAACATGATCTACGCAAGTTGGGAATGTGTGACATCTATTCCCAACTTGAGAGGGAGTGTTGAGTGGGCTGATTTATGTTGGGCCGATTTATGTTTAGTTTGTTTTCTTTTAAATTAAGAAGTTGTTGGGCCTTGGTCCCATTAGTCTTATTTTTAAAGGAATTGTAAGTACTTAGTTGAGTTGCCGCCCTACTAGGGGCATCTTTGTAATATCCCATATTTAAGTTAATTATAAATAGAATAAGGGGTTGGCGGCTAGGGTTATGATTACTATCCTAGTCGACATTCTTCTCCTTTTCTTCCCTTTCCTCTGTCTATTGCTGAAATCCCCAACTTTCTCCTCTTCCTTTCACAAGAAGCTTGGATGAAATCAGCACATAAGGCTTTCTACTAAAGGTATTAAGAAGCTCCCATATTAGGCACAGGGGACCCTTCAGCTAAACTACAGGGGATCTTCTTTAGCTTATTCATGTAATACAGATCAGTAACTCAGTTTGTAGACATAGAGGCTTAGGTCATAAGAGTGGTAGAGTCTAGAGTATATTGGACCAGCACAGGGAGATCACATTGGCGCCCCACAGCACATCCCAACCATGTATTGGGAACATCTCCCAATAACAAGTATGGGAGATGTTCCCAATGCACGTTGAGATGTCCACGTGGGGAACCTGTGGGGCGTGGATGTGAACTCCAGCACAGGTGGAGGTTGTGAGCGTCAAACATTGTTACTGATTGGTTTAGAGATGGTAAGAAGGGGTCTTTTTTGGCATTATGTGAGAACAGCCAAAGCTCTGCATTCAAAGGACCAAAGTTCACATCTCATTCAGATGATCTGGAGGTCAGCCAACTCCCTTGTGGATAGTTTAGCTAGATAGTAGTTGGGATGGCTGAGTTGTATTTGGGATACATCCCCTCCCACATCATGTTTCCTTTGTTTTTTAGTCTCTTTTGTAATAGATATGGGTTGCCCCCTAGGATGAGACATTCTGCTTGGCACCGTCCTCCCCCTATTGGGTAGATTTGACATTTATACATGCAATACTCTTTGGATCAATGAAGCTTTTGTTAGTTATGTATAAAGAAGAAAAACCAATATAGAGTATAAGTGATTCTTACGCAATCTCAACAATTTTCGTAAGGCTAAAAACACGTGGATCAGATGTAGATCGCAACTCTTCTATAGAAACCTTGCAAAGAGATTTAACAAAATCAACTATTGCCTCACTATTCAATCTTTGACTTCTTGTGAATATGCGATTCATTTCAGAGCTTCCAACTTGCTCCAACATGTTCAAGTTGGACACTAAATTGTTCATCTGTTCAGATGTAATGACCCCCGAAGCATGGCCACCAACACCAGCACTATCATATGAACCCCTTCGAACAGCTGCAGCAGCATATTGAATACGGCCATGTTCTTTCTTTTTCAATACAGGAAGGATGGTTGACTTCAATTGCTTTGAATTTTCTAAATCATTCTGAGGTACTGCAAAGAAAGCCGCATCAGGAGGAGCTCCCTCTCCCAAGAGATGCAAATGCTCAAATCGTGAAACACATGTCAAAATATGCTCCCAGGCTTCTTGCAAATAATTGCCATCTTCATCAGCAATCGTAATAATTGCCTGTGAAATATATGTATTTGCAAAGTACTGTCAAGAAAATGAAATACATTGCAAAATCATGTAGTATGAGATGCATAAATGTAGTTCTAAGAAAATAACCACTTGTAAGATGGTGAAGGCATCTTAATATTTTCTGACTATAGAACATATGAAAAACAAGCAATATATTGCCATTGGAGGCCCTGATGCAGATTATATGGATTTATTGATTTATTCTTTCCATACAGCTAACAGTATGCTGAACCAACAGATTGGCAAATTTCTAAAAGTTTCTGGTACATCCACAATTATCCTAAATGAATACTACTTATGAATAAATCTGCCTATGAAATGAATACACTCATTGGCTAGTATCTACAAAATTTTGGCTAAGGTGCTATCAGTGAGAATTAAAGCAGTACATAGCTTCCCCTGGTCTAATATGCAATCAAAACCAATCTGATCGAAATTAGATAGGTTCCTTTTTACCTTAGACTGGGAGGATCACTGGGGAGGGTTGACTTCCAAAGCTTTACCTAGGAGAGGCCTGGCTTAGGACCAGCACCCTTTAGGTTTGAGAATACGTGGTTGTCCCACCCTGGCTTCCTACAAAAGTAAAGGAGTGGTGGGCAGAAAGTAGACCTATGGCTAATCAGAAGGGAATGATTTTTCATAGGAAGTTGCAGCTTTTAAAACCTAAAATCAAGGTGGAATCTGGTGGAGTTCGGGAGATTTGAGGGAAAAAAGCAGAAAGTGCTTGATCGAATTGAGAGTTTGGATTTAAAGGAGGCCCAAGGCACTTTGGAGGAGATAAACAGAGAACAAATATGGGGGTTGATAAAACAATTGGAAGATATCTTGTATGAGGAGGAGGTTAGTTGGAGGCACAAATCCAGGCGTAAGTGGATTAGAGAGGGTGACAGGAATACAAAATTTTCCCATCCTTTGGCAACCTGCGGAAGAAATATGTCTCTAGATTGGAGATTTAGGGTGAGACCATTACTGATCAGAGGAGAGATTGCCAGAGTATTGGTGGAGCATTTCAAGTCTACTTCTAGAGAACCTCGAGTGGGTAGTAGGTGGATTGATGGCTTGGATTGGCTAACACTCCCTGGTGCTTTAAGGCCTAGCTAGGAAGTTTGAGTTGGAGGAAGTGAAGGATGCAATCTTCTCAATGGATAGGTCAAAATCCCCAAGCCCAGACAGTTTCACTATGGCTTTCTACTAGGATTGTTGGCAGATTCTTAAAGAAGAGTTGATGGATGTTTTCAATGAATTCTTTGACAAGGGAGTGATTAATCTAGGAATCAATGCCACCTTAATTGCCCTGGTTCCTAAAAGGAATAGAGCAACCCACCCTAAGGGTTTTAGACCTATCAGCTTGGTGACTAGCTTGTATAAAATCATCACAAAGGTCCTGTCTATAAGGTTGAAAGCGGTGCTCCCTTCTTTAACATCCCCTAGTCAAGGGGCTTTTGTACAGGATAGACAAATCACAATCTAAATCTTGATTGCTAATGAATGTTTTGAGGATTTGAAGAGATCTGATAAGAAGGGTTTAATATGTAATTTGGATTTGGAGAAAGCCTATGACTCAGTGGACTGGTTTTTCTTGATGGATGTTCTAAGTCACTATGGTTTCACGGAGAGGTGGTGCAAGTGGATGTGGGGTTGTATTTAGACCAAGGGTCAAAATATCGCAACGTATCGAGGTGTATCAGCCGATATGTGTCGTATCAGAGCCGTCCTATACACCCCTACACTTTAGTGTTTCAGGGGCATATCGGCTGATAGGTATTTCAAGGGGTAGACAGGCCTTAAACTGACCCCTTGAACCAGTTTCAAAGAAAAAAAAAAAAACTAAAAAAAATAAAGGCAAGCTTCAATACAGGCCAATACGCCCCATCCGGTGTATCGGACTGTATCGATATTTTGAACCTTGATTCAGACATGTCATTATTCAGTACTTCTAAATGGTACAGTGGTGTACTTTTTTGAAGCAGGGCGTGGAATTAGGGAGGGAGACCCCTTATCCCCTTTCTTATTCACCCTAGTTGCAGATGTCTTGAGCAGAATAGTTCTAAAGGCAAATTCTAATCTTCTTGTGGGAAGGGATAGAGTGCCCTTGACACACATGCAATTTGCAGATGATACTATCCTCTTTTGTGAATGCAATGGCCAATGATTTAGCTTGGGTTAGAAATTTGAAGTTGAATGTACAACTCTTCGAAGGAGTCTCTAATTAAAAAAGTAAATTTTGATAAGAGTTGCATTGCGGGGATCAACTTGAAGGAGAGGGAATTGGAACTTTGTGCTGGAATATGGGGGTGTAATGTATCTCAGTAACCTCTAAATTACTTAGGGCTACCCCTAGGGGTCAACCTAAGGACCACAATTCTTGGTCTCCAATGATAGAGGTGTTCACTAAAAAGCTTGTCTGCTGGAAAAGGAGGTATATTTCTTTAGGCTCAGTTTGGAAGGAGTACAAATACAAATATGTACAGTACAAATACATACAAAATAATACAAAATGCAAGGTTTTGCACTCTACATTTTTGCATTTGTACTCCTTCCAAACTGAGCCTTAAGAGGTAGAATTACATTGATCAAATTGGCTCTAGCTAACCTCCCTATGTACTACTTGTCTGTGTTTAAGACCCCTAAGGATGTTACAAGAAGCATTGAGAAGATAATGAGAGATTTTTTTGGGGATTCGGGTGAAGAAAAGAGAGATCATAGGGTTTGCTAGGAGACAGTTTGTAGAAATAAGGAGTTTGGGGGTCTAGGCTTAGAAATGTTCGAAAAAGGAGTTTGGCCCTTTTAGGGAAATGGTTGTGGAGGCTACCCAAGGAAAGGGACAGACTATGGGTAAAAGTGGTGGTGAGTATACACAGACTCTCGGACAATGGTTGGGATGTTGGTTCACTGCCAAGGGTTACCAAAGTTCTCCTTGGAAAGCAATACATGCAATCCTTCCCTTATTTCTAGTTTTCTACTTCTTATAAGGTATGATCTCAACTCTGCAAATAACATTAAATTTTGGGAACAAACTTGGTGTCCGAACTTACTGTTGAAGGACCTTTTTTTATAAGTATTATGTTGAAGGACCTTTTCCCTTCCTTGTTTGCCTTTCCTTGCCTTAAGAATGAACCTATCTCGAGTTTCTTGGTCCCTTCAAACTTCACAAATGGCTTTGATTGGAACCTTGGTTTTAAAAGGAGATTAAGGGATTCTGAACTTGAGAGTGCCCTTCTTTTGCTCAACCTCCTAGAAGAAGTCTTTTTTTACCCTTCTAAACCTGACAGAAGAATTTGGACCCCTACCCCCTCTGGATCTTACTCTTGTGCTTCTTTCTTCTTCAAGTCTCTACCCATCCTCCTCCGAACTCCCTCCTACCTTTTCCTATCAAAGAGGTTTGGTGCAAGGCCATTCCAGGGTTGGGGCCTTTTGCTAGGAAGTTGTACACGAAAGAACAAATACCTTTGACTGGCTCCAAAGAAAAAGAAAGTAAGTGGTGCTTATCTCCACATTGGTGCACTCGATGCAAGGCTACTAGTGAGAGTTGCATTCATTTACTTATTACCTATTCCTTTGTTGTAGGAATTTGGGAATGGTTTTCCTCTTTATTTGGATGTAGGTGGACTCCACCGGTTGATGTCAAAGGGCTCTTTGATTCAACGGCTTTTTGTTGGCCAACAAAAAAAGAACTCATGTGGAGCAATGGAGGTGTGGTAGGTTAGCAATCTATTGGACAGTGTGTGGAGAAAGGAATGCTAGAATTTTTAAAGATGAGGAAATAAGGAAGGAAGATTTAGGCCTCGTTCGTTTATCAGCTGGCCATTTACCCGGGTAAGCACTTACCCATGTTCTTTTTTGTTAAATTTACCCAGGTAAATGAGGCCTCTCAACTTTCCCATGTTCCTTTGTTTTAATTTTTCCATCTTTTGCCACTTTTACCCTTGGGTCCAACCCAAGTCCATGTTTTAATGGGTATTTTTGACAGATTGTATTTTGAGCATTTGTTCTCCACTCAAGAAAGCTAACTTTCCCAAATCGAAGAAGGGTAACATTTCCTGGGTAAGTGATACCCAAGGAAAACATATTTACCATGGGTCCCACCTAAGTCCTCAAAAAGAACATGGGAGAGTCGATCAATGGGAATCACAATCCCCTTGACCGACTTTCACTCCCAATAGAATCCGGGAAACGAACGAGGCCTTAATGGAAACTATTATGATCAGAGTGGCTTTTTGGCTTAAATCTGTGGAAGCTTTCTCAAATGTGTCCTTTGATGATATCTTTAGAAACTGGAAAGAGGTTGCAGATTCAACTTCTCAGAAGCAAGTTATCGGCCCTGTTTGGTCCCCACCGAAAAGAGGATTTATCAAACTAAATTTTAATGGATGTAGCTTGGGCAATCTGGGTCTGTCAGGAATTAGAGGGGTTTTTAGGGATGAGGAAGTCAGGAATGTAAGGTTATTGCTTTATTTTTGGGCCCAGCTGGTGAGGGAGACTCCTTTAAGGGAAGAAGTGATGGCTCTGATGGAAGGGGTACAAAGGGCAGGAGCCATGAACTCGAGGAAGTTAATTAATAGAAGGGAACTCCAAACTGGTTGTGACATGTCTGCAGACAGAGGAAGCTGGGATGTGGAGGTACAATAATGAGAAGAATAAATTTCGGTGGATCACCAGGAATATGGATCTAAGACAATATTGGGTGAAAAGAACTATAAACTCTAAGGCTGATGCACTTGCCAAACAAGGGGTGGAAGAAATCAATTGTTTTGGGCACAGCTGTAATTATCATTGTACTTGGAGGGGAGAGATAAGAGAGCTTATCTCTCACTGTCTTCTTCGTGTTGTACTCATATTCTCTTAACTTAATGAAAAGTTACAGTTATTGGTCCAAAAGAAGATAGAAAGCCAGATGAGTTTTAGGAACTGGAAGCAAGTTAGGTGAGAGGTGGACTATAGTGATTGGTTACATGGTAGACAAAGGATAAAAAAGAGAAACAAAAATATAACGAAAAAGGAGAGGGAACACTTGATTGACTCCATTTGAATTGAACTTCACAACTTTTTGAGAATTTATTAAAAACTAAGAGACACATAATCATCTCCCTGCTGTAATATATAGTATAGATTATGCTGTTTTATTTTATTTACTCTTTGGCTGTAGGCTTGTTAGCTTGTTTTGTTGAAGGTGGCATCTCATCACCTTATCTCTTCTTCCTTTTGGTTGATGAATTTTCTTTAACTTAATATCAGGGAAAAAAAGGGAAAAAAAGAAAAGAAACAAGGTCACACCTCAATACAAGACAATTAATCTATTTGCTGGACAATGTGTTGCACATATAAAAGAAATAATGATGTCATCCACTAAGGAGTCTGATTAGGTAGCATATCATTATGCTAGCGCTTCTTTACCTCTTTGAAATATCTCTTAATGTTCCTTTTTCCTAAATCTCCATTTGCCTTCCAGATTCTGGAATTCAATGGCATTCGATGACATCTAATTTAATCCATAAATCAGTCCCTTAAGCTTTACTCATTGACCCACTACATGTTTTAATTTTATAGGAACCCTATCCCATCCCAAATCACACTCATTTCTATTTCTATCCTTTCAAGTTTCCAGTTCTTTGGATGGTCTTAGAAGGAAAGCCCTTCAACTCACTGCCTCTTGCTTGATCACCTCCCTGCTCTTCCAAGGTGTCAATCTGAATTCTCAACCAGTTGAGTGCAAAATTTCTTCAAGATCTTACAATCCGCAGACCCCACCCAACAGATCCAGAATGTCCTAATACAAGACCTGCCTGTGATTCCCTCTTAAAATTTGATAGTAGTTGCAGATTTTTTTTATCAATAACAGCAACTTTTATTAAGAAAAATAATGATAGAAAATTACAAAAAGGGAGGGGTAAAAACTCTTAACCCTCCCTAACATTAAACATCAGATTACAACAATGCCCAAAAAAGATTTGCTCTTCCCACCCCTTGTTTAGCCAAAGTGTCCGCCAGAGAGTTAGCACTCCTCTTGGCCCACTGAACCCGAATTTGCATGTTTTGAGTTAGCTGATTGATTTTCTTTTTTTCATTTGAAAACTTCCACAGACTGGACTCTTCCTTCTGCAGCCAGCTAACAGTCAGCCTAGAGTCACCTTCCACCAACAGTTTGCTGATTTTCAGCTGCTGGGCTCTTTTAATCCCTTCCAGAGCTGCCAAAATTTCAGCTCTCAATGAATCCCCCCAACCTATAGGTCCTGAGAACATAGCAATAATTTGACCTTCATCCCTGAAAACACCACCTATACCTGAAAGGCCTGGGTTTCCTTCACTGCTGCCATCAAAGTTCAATTTAATGAACCCCGAAGCTGGCAGAGTCCAAGCTGGACTAAGGGATGTAGTCAAGGGAGCAGACCAAGCCACTTCTTTCCATTTTCTAATGATGTCTCCTGCTGAATAACCTTCGGAGTCCAAGCTGGACTAAGGGATGTAGTCAAGGGAGCAGAATTTTTTATAGCCACAGTCCTGCTGGAGTTGGCAGACATTTCAGATGCAGGGGTAATCTGACCTGGGCTTTCAGTGGGCCAATTGACTTGGCAGACTCTTCTGAATCTGAAACTAGAGCCTTTCTCATCAGCATAAGTATAGCCAAGTCTCTTAGTGCAAGACCACTGCTGGTGGAATGTATTTCTAGGAATGTTATTGGCTGGGTTTCCAACCTTGATAGAGGTCCCAGGAGATTTGGTCATCTGTTAAATGAGATTGGGAGACCTCCTTTGACCTCTCATGCTCTTTTAGATGGATCCCAAGGGAGTTGAACACCTTAGCTGATTCTCTTTCAAAATTGGGGGTGGATAAAAGTTATTTGTATAGTGCAGATGCTCTACCTTTGTAACTGATTGGGGTCTTTTTTGTTTCTCTTGCACATCATTCATGTGCATCTGAAAGTTATTACAAAAAAAAAGAATTTCTAGGAAAAAAAGGGAAATCACCAAAGCATAAAAACAAGAAAACTGTGCACAAACCTTGATCGCATCAATGTTTTTCTGTTTGATATCTGCAGCTGAGTGGAGGGAAGTGAACTTTGCTAGTGAAGTAACAAAAGCATCTCTGTGAGTCTTCATGGATATCACTGCAGTAACATGGATTGCATAACGGAATCCTTCAAGACACTGCGCAATTATTACTTCATCATCACTTTGGTCAAGAGGGACACTGAAGGCAGCCAACATAGGAGCCCAACAGACCTCAATCATGAATCTCAGTATTACAACATCTGTTGCTGCATAGTAAACTGACCTACAAATTGCAAGTGAACATCCAGATCAAGAAGACAGTTGAAGAAGTTTCATATTTCATTCCATATACAACTTTGAACTTACAAGAGGCATAATTAACACCAAAAACCTAGATGTAGGGATTAAATTGCAAGATTTATACCAGGGTAGATGTGAAAATAAAGTATCTAAAAATCCACAGCATATACTCGGTGACATTTCTTGCACTGTCATGGACCTAATAAAGTCACAAAATTTTAATAAGGCAGAAGCTAGTTGAGATTACTCAGATTTACGAGCTTTTTCCTTGAATTGTTGTTGCATGTGCCTCATGAGATCATCACTGGTCTCCATGTTATTTTCATCTCCTCGCTTACGGACCACAATATTCAAAATACCATCTAGGCCTAAAAGTCTATTTGAGTTTACAGACTGCTTTTGTTGGGGAGCCAAGTCATCCTCTTTCATTTTAATCTCATTCCTTGAAATCCGTTCAAACAAAGATCTCAAGTACTCTTCAGGTAAATCTTTTCCATCATCTATGCCACGATTGTTCCTTATAAAGTCATCTGGTGACATCTGCATAATATAATAAAAGAGCACAGCTTGTCAAGATCCTATCAAAATATCTAATTTGTTTCACTTGAAATTGAACGATAATGCACCTTGTTTTTAACCATGGGGTTGTGGGCATCAGTGTTGAGCATTATTACAGAATAGGCAAGGACATATGCAGTGTCTGCACTAGTGAAAGCTTTTGGGTTACACTTGCAATAGCGTTCAGCAAATTTTTCCATGATACGGTCAATCTTCTGTGCTTCACCTGGCAACCTAAAGCCTTGTAGAAAAGCCCTGATTGCTTCATCAAACTCCATTCCTTCAAAATCAAATGAATCCACGTATGCATGCATGACTTTTAATGGTAACTCCTCCCTCTCTCCTAGATAATCACCAATCTGGGTCTTGTTCAAACCAGATGTATTTCTAAGAAAATCCGCAATCTCCTCTGGTGAGTCCCCTACCTTCTTTGCATTGATAAGGAAATCAATGCCTTTCTTAGGTTTCCTATTAAAAAGAGATATACCTTCCTGCCACAAGGCTCACATTAGATCCAATGTAAAATACAAGCAGAGAATTATGCTTTGAGAGAGAGAGAGGGAAAGAATAACACACGTGCATTAACATTGCAAAAATTACTTACCTGAAATTCAAGCTTGTATGCCCGACGCTGCTCAATTGTTGATACATCAGAAAATTCATTGGATGCCTCAGAATGAGAATCTGGACCTTCAGCAGGCTCTTCCCCATTCCCATTTGCCACAGGAAGACTTCCAGATTCTGGACCATTCTCAGTTGTTTCTATTTTATTAGGAGAGTGAGGATCTGGAATTCGCAATTGTTTGTCCATCCAATCTCCCATTGAACGCAAAATTGCCACTAAGCACTTCATTGCTTCAAGTTTCATGGTGGCATCCTGAGGTGGCAGTAGGGTAGTGGCAGCACCAGGAGGGACACCTTGAGCAGTTTTGAGAAGTCCATTTACCATCCTGTCATAGAAACAATGACGTGGCTGTGAGCCCTGAGGCCAACACTAAAATTCTTGAAACATCAATGCTTGAGTTAAAAATAGAATACCTCTCAAATATATTTGATGAATTGACATCACAATCATAATTAATGAAAATATCCACCAATATCTGGGAATCAATGCATAGCTTGTCTAGAAACCGAAGCACTATCATCTTTTGCTGAAAATTAGGCTGAACAATATTTTCCAAAACTCTTAGAACAATCATAGGAAAGAATACTCCAATCTCTGCCTTCAATCCAGCTCTAAATCTTGATACCAAACTAATGAAAATGGAGCAAGAAAGTTGAAAAATAATCACAAGGTTTGATGCACTGTTCTTCAACAATGATAAGCATAAGTATTGCTTAATAGCACCTAAAAACCTGTTGCATATCAAGAAAAATATCAGAATTGTAGTACAATCCAAGTAAGTCATCTAATTAAGATAAAGCATAAATTCTTGAGGTTGGCCCCATATTCAGAAACAATAGCCATATAAAAGGGCATGTGACTATGCAACAAAGGTTGTGAAATCACAAATTATCCTAATTCCTATCTCTTTAAAGGAAGGCATGAACTTTATTCAAGTAAGCAAGTCCCTAGAAACTATCAACTAAAAATGTAATAAACATAAATGTTGATAAAGGGGATGAACTAAATGCAGATCAAAGACTCAAAGTTATACAAAATCACATTGAATTTGTTGACTAGGACATTTATACCCAAACACCCATTGTTCAGAGAACCAGACCGGGCATAGAACCAGGGAAGGGAGAGGTTCACGGGTCAAAGGTTCAACCGGGGTGGAACCGGAGGTCGAACCGTGATGACATGGCATATATACTACGAGTCATATAAATGCTATATATAATATATTTTACAACCTTTAATATACTCAAATATAGTGGATGGATAGAAAATTCCTTTAATTTTTAAAGCAAATGACTAAAGTTCAAGTCTGTTAATTTATATTTTTTAAAATACATGTACAATAAAGTAATATATAAAATAAAGAGTCATTAAATAACACAAGTAAAGAGATGGACTAGTGGTATTAACCACTGGTGATGTAGTAGCGACATGGAAGGCTTCCTTTGTTTTAGGGGTAGGTAGGTCTGGCTCGAAGAGGAAGAGAGAAGGGGAGGAGAGTAGTCGAGTTTCTAATAGAAGGAAGAGGTCCAAGAAAGGCAAGAAGGAAATGGCGGGGAATAGTGAAGTCAGGGTGGGGGAGATGGGAAGATTTAAGTAATACTCTGGTAAGGGAAACACCACTTGGAAGAAGGAAAGTGGATATAGACAAGTTGGTAGAGAGACAGGTAGAGGTTGGAAAGTCTTTGGGATTATTTTTCCTGGGAGAGGAAGAGGTAGTCAGAAAGGCCATAGAACAATTCGAAAGAAACAGAAGGGAGGAACAATTTAAAAGGGCAGCCGGTGGGGAAGGGGAAGGGAAGGAAGTAAGGAAGGCTGATGAGGAGTGAAGGGGCTGTAAGAAGAGAGGGGGGAGAGGCAGGAGATGAAGTTGATTTCCTGCAACGTGAGAAGGTTGAGGGTTGGAAGAAGAAGAGGGTGGTAAAAATTTTCTGAGAAATCACAGACTTGATGTTGTTTTCAAGAAATGAAGTGCAGGAGGAAATGTCAGTCATCTATTTATCAACTGCAAGTTTGCTAACTTCATGTGGCGAATATTTACCACTGTGGTCAGGGTTTTTGGATATCACCCAGTTTTCAGTTGCAGATATTTTTGCTTTGTGGCCTAAGTTGGGAGGAAGCAAGAAGGCGAAACTGAGTTGGATATGCATCCTTTTTGCTACAGTTTGGAACATACGGAAGGAGAATAACATAAGAACACTTGAGGACAGAGCTTGCAGTAGGGTTTGGGTGGTAGCTGTTGTAGCAGGTCCATGGAAGAGTGGAAGACTGGATCTTGGTCCTCACAGAATTTAGGCAAGCTGATAAGGAGGAACTGGGGATTAAGTATGGGTATTCAATTATGTAATGTGGAAAACTCATTCTGGTTTTCAGATTGCATTGTATTAGGGTGGTGGCTTGTCACCCATCAGCTTGTACTACCTTTTTTTGTTTTTCAATGAATTTTTACTTCACTTGTCAAAAAAAATGGACTAGTGGTAATTAGGCAATATATCAAAATAAGAGGTCATGGGTTCAAGTCTTGCCAAACACATTTTAAAATATCAATTATTTAATGGCCCAGGCAGTTTCTTGAAACTAGGACCATTCACCAGTTTTTTAGCAAATACGGTTATTGTGGTGTGACCGAACCGGCCAGGACCCCAGTCACAATCTGACTGGCCAGTCTGGTCCGATATCCTAAACACTGCAAACACCAATGTTTTCAAAATTATACAATTCAAATTAAATTGTATCCAAATCACAAGATCAAATTGTTTTTTTTTTTTTGACTTACAGTACAATTTATGAGTAAATTGTTGCATAGAATTGTAAATTGGAATTTGAAGTCAAATAAGACGGTTTAATGTTAACAATGTTTTGAAGAGTAAGACATTTCAGGCATCCATCAAAAAATATAAAAGGCATTTCAGGCCTCATTTTAAACTTTCTTTTTATTTAATGAAGGATATGCATGTTGCAAAATGAGTTTTTTTAAGCTTTTCTTTCTTCTTTGTCTCTTTCTTTTTGTGCTTTGAAAAAAAAAAAAAAAGGATTTTTCCCAATCTTTGCCTCTTTCTTTCTGCTTTGGAAACAGGGGTTTCACCCCGTATTCTTCTCCTTCTCCTTTGTTCCAACATGAGAAATGCATGTGCATCAAAGACCTTTATGTGGCATGAAAGGAGCTCCACCTCCATTTTTTGTACGAGTAATAGTAAAATCTTATTAAAGCTCCACCTCCATTCTTCTTGTACTTTTCTAAAAGTAAAAATATTTTTCTTATTCTTTATGCCATGATTTATGCAACAAATTGCACTTTCTCTTAGATAGTTATGTTATTGTTTTAAAACTAATTTTGATGGTATTTTTTTTGGTTTATCTCAGTGTGGTCAGTGTCAATGACTCTTTGATTGTGTGTAAATTGAAGAATGTCTAATTTGTGTGTAAATTGGAAGAAAAGTTTATTGGCAGGTGTCAATCTAGGAGGCGAGGAATTAAGGTCTATGGAAGAAACTTTGGGGTGCAAGAGTGGGAAATGGCATTTAAGGTATTTAGGTTTGCCTTTAGGTGATAACCCAAGATTGGCTAGGTTTTGAAATCCAGTGGTAGAAAGTATTGAGAAAAGACTAGCCAGGTGGAAAAGGAATTACATTTCATTAGGAGGGAGGCTAACTTTGATCAAATCCACTCTAGCTAACCTCCTAGTCTATTTTATGTCAGTTTTTAGGATGCCTCAGGCAATGGCAAGAAGAATTGAGAAACTTATGAGGGATTTCCTTTGGGAACCAGGGAAGGGGAAGAAAGATCATTTGGTGAGATGGGAAAAAGTGGTCAAGAAGAAGGAAGGTGATTGGGGATTGGTAATGAGAGCTTAAAAAAACAGGCCCTCTTGAGCAAATGGCTTTGGCACTTTCCTGTGGAAATGAGAGATTATGGCATAGAGTAGTGGCTAGCATTTCACATGCTATCAAGTAATGGTTGAAATGTTAATTGTCTACAAAGAGCTACTCTAGATGCACCTTGGAAAGCAATTTGTGGCTTGCTTCCCTCTTTTCTTAATTGTGTGAGGTATGATTAGGCTTCTAGTAGAAAGATAAGGTTCTAGAAATATATGCAGGTAGGTGAATCCCCTTTGAAAGATGTCTTTCCTTCCCTTTTTGTTCTTTCAAATCTCAAAGGTAGACCATGGCTGATTTTTTACTTCCTCCTTCTTCTAGCTTGAATTGGAGCTTAGGTTTCACTAGGAATCTCAGAGAGTCAGAAAATCCCCTTGGTGTCTAACTTGCTGAGAGTCTTGGAGTCTTAGTCCTTGTTGATAATGAGAGAGATGGTCGGCGGTGGTCCCTTAACCCTGATGGGAAGTTTTCTTTTAAGTCTTGTTTTAACTCCCTTGTTTCCACTTCCTCTCCCCACCTTCCCTGTAAAAGAAATTTGCTGCTTCCCTATTACTCCAAAGGTCAAGTCATTTTGCTGGGAAGTATTCCCTGTGTGCATTAATACTTGTAATTTGCTATAAAGGAAAAGACCAGATTGCACCTTGTCCCCCAATCGGTGCTTCTTGTGCAAATTGCATGGTGAAACTATCTTCCACCTCTTTTTTTTTGTTGATAAATAACTATCTTCCACCTCTTAATCTCCTATCCTTCCGTTTGTTGTATTTGGGAATGGTTTTCTTCTCTATTTGGTTGCAAGTGAAACCCTCCTAGCAGTTTGGATGGGCCACTCAGCCCTTCTGTTTTGAGAAGCACAAAAAAAGGGCAGGGTTTTGTAGAGATGTACAAGGGTAGCAGTGTTATGGACAGTGTGGGAAGAAAGAAACACAAGAATCTTTGGGGGTTCATTACTCTTAAAGTTGCACATTGGGTGAAAACCTTAAACTTCTTTCAGACTTTAAAGTGGATGACATTTTCCGGAATTGGTGGGGGGGGCGGGGGGGAATTGTTGGCTCTTCCTCTAGGAAACAAAAATCTAGAGGTTTGGTCACCCCTGTGGCTAGTTGGAAGAAGTTGAACTTTGATGGTAGTAGTGTGGATTACCCAGGACCCTCAGGTATTGGAGGGGTTATCAGGGATGAAGGTGGCATTATTTGTGCATTCTTTTCGGGTCCAATTGAGCAAGGTGACTCGGTCAAAGCAGAACCTATGGCAGCAGTTTACGGGGTAGAGAAGGCCAAAGAACTAGGAATTACTAGTTTGATTATTGAAGGTGACTTGAACATAGTTGTGGGATGGTTGTTGGACAAAGGCGAAAGGGTGACTTGGCAGCTTAGGAATGAATTTAGGCGCTTTAAGTTGCTGTCAAAAGACATGAACTTGCAAGTTCATTGGGTTAGAAGATCTACCAACAGTTTGGCAAATAGTTTAGCTAAGCAAGGGGTTCAAAGACAACCTATGTACCGGACACAATTGTAATAAGGGTTGGGTGGCTTGCCTTGCATCAGGCATGTTAATTGCTCACAACTTCTTGTTGTATCTATTTCCTTTAATCATTAATATTTTCTGTGGTTGGTGATCAAAAAAAAATGACTCTTGAATTGTGCAGATTGACTCTCTTTTTTGCTAATAAGAATTTCTGATATATGTACCAATAAAGAAGAAGGAGCTGACCAACCAAGGGAATTTATAGATTAACTAGCCAACTCCCTTTCAGCAGCAAAACTATAAGCTGCAGGAATAGCAAAACATACAGACAATTCGCACTAAAACCAAACCCTGAAATAGATACAATAAAAGAATAAAACTACTGGGTAATATGAAACTTTAACACTGCTCATTCAACTTCAGCATGGAAAAAGCAGCAAAAAGAAATTACACATCCTCACAAAATGAATTAAGATAATGAAAGTTGAGAGAGAAATACCTCTCACTGGTTCTAAAGATAGCTCCAGCGTTCTCTAGCAGTATCTTCAGCAGCTCCAGTGCTACAATTTTTCCCCGCATCAACTGTAGATCATTCAAGACCTCCTTGGGAGGTGTCTTCATTGAGAGCTTACAAAGTGCTCTAAACACCAAGAAAGCATCCCGTCTCAACTTATTACCAATCTGAACTTCCAAGTCATCATCTCTTTCAGCCTCACCCTCAGTCAATTCCCCTTTTCTCCCTTCTAAAGCAGTCTTGTACATGCTGATCTCCCAATATTTGGCATCCAACATATCCTTATCCGTTGAATCCAACAAATCTGCCGGATTCGTGGTTTCAACAGTCGTAGTTTCAAATGCACCATCATGGGCACCCGCCGATGACTTCCTTGGAGTCACAGGATTCAAGACCACATCAATGTCTTGCATGATCTTCGTAATGAAACCCTGGACAAACTGTGTCATGCTTGCATCCGTATCGGACTTTTCCACGGGCTCCATCAGTTCTGCTACCACAATCGGCTGAACAGGAACAGTGGATGAATCGGCCTCCATCCTCCGAAACACAATCACCAGCATCTGTATCAAAGAAGCCTTGGCAGTCGTCTGGTTAACAACATTCTTGCTCCCTAAGTAGATATCGTAACAAGTCCTAACGATCTGCAGTAAGCAATCCCCGTGGATCCGCAATGAGGTCGAAGTAACAGCTGAGAGCAGCGTCCTAAGTATCACGAGCTCAACAGCATCATCACCCAAGTCATGACACTTACAGACAGACTCCATCAACTGGGAGAGAAGCTTGGCTTCGGACCCACCAGAAGGATCCGCTTCACCGCGAATGTAGCCATGAGCGATCAGCTTCTGGATGCAGTCAATAGCCGGATCGGCAATCTTAAGAACTCCCGATCCACAAGCGGCAATCAGAGGGCTGAGGATCGATTCGGACTCCGCGAGAGAGAATTCAACAGTGCCACCGTCGTGCAACGGACCGGGAACTGATTTATCCAATTCAGCATCGTCGGGAGTAGAAGGAAGCTTGTCGGGAGAAGCTAATTTCTCGATTACATATTTGCATTGGTGAACTAGTTTAGAGTGTTTCCTCCACGAACCATTCTTGATTATCTTCTCTAGGGCTGGAGTTATTACAAGACTCAAACGGGAATCGGCTTCCGAAGAAGCCATTCCCGACCTAGCCTAGCAGAGTTTCAGATCTGAATAAATGAAAACTAGGGCTTTTTCTTTTTCCTACGAAACAAGCCAACTGCTTCGTCGAATCAGCAGAGCGAGATGGCTGTTGTGTTCGCTTCTTCAAGTTACCACACCAGAGAGAGAGAGAGAGAGACCGACCGTGTTGGTAAAAAAAGAACCGGAACTCCGTGGGTGAGAGAGAGATCGAAAACGGTTCGGGACAAGCCAGGCATTTATTTTCTATCTAAATGACTAAAATACCCTTTATTTATAACATTAGAGCGGACCAGCGAACAAGGCAATCAAAGCGTGATTCATGAAATAAATGACGGTAATGTCGTGGGCAGTGACATGGGCATTTTGGAGAATGAAGCCAGGGAGATTAGTTTATGAGCTTTGAGCTGTGAAAGTTGCACAACCAAGCCGTTGGCCGTCTTTGAGGTACTGCCCACAATGTCACGTGAACTCTTTCATGCTGGAAGCTTACGATTCCCGCCAACTCGGGGGGATGTTCTTCCGAGCAACTCTGAATTATTTTTTCTTTTTGTGAGCTTCAACTACAAAAATAAATCAAAACAATTTAGTTTGAAAATAAATCGATTTTTAAAATAAAAATGTAGAAAATAAGTTATTGCTTGTATATACTAGAGGAGGGCAGGCTGGGAATTATATAACATTGTATTTACTATATTAAAAAATACAATTTTTTTAATAAGAAACTTGCAATTATAAGTATCCAATTCATGAAATTTATATAAAAAATTAAAAGAGATCATCATGTGTTCATTTTTTTAAATATTATTTTAATAAAGCATCTCATATAAAAGAATTAATATGATCATACAGTGAGAGTTCTGAGTTCTACTTCATAGTTGTCCTTTGTTTTACATCAAGAACTCTCATTTGACCCGGACAATAGGACCATTCGGCTCGAGAACCGTCAAGGCAACCGGTTCCGTTTTACCCCAAACCCAGTCCCTGGACAAAAATCATTGAATCATTCAACAACTCGTTGACCCGGTCGATCAACCCGTTCAACATTTTTTGCCATTTTTATTTTTTTAATTATTTTTTAATTTTTGTTGTTAGAACTGGCCATTCGTTCGAACTGGATGGTCGAACTGTCGACCTGGAAACTAGTGGCCAGAACGGTTCCATTTCCAAGACATTTTTTCTAGATGTCAATAATTAGACGAAATAAATTTGTAGTAATAGCCATGGGAAGGGTGGACATTGCAAAGGATTCCAAAACCTTGAAAGATAAATCCAAAGTGACCTTAAACAAAACAAAAACAAAAAAAAAAACTATAAATCCACCAAACTGGAAAACCCAATGAAAAAATATCAGAAAATCGAGTTCAAAATTCCGCTTTGAAACGGAGTTAAATATACATGAAATCAAAGAAAGAGACAAAGCATATTGTCTTGTAAGAAAATAAAATTAAAAAAAAAAACATTGCATAAGAAAACCCAAAGAAAAAAAAAACAAAGAGGAATAAATAAAATGGTGGTAAACCCTATACCATTTTGAAGGATCTTGAAGAAGATGACCAAACAAAAAAAAGTGAAAAAAAAATGACATATTGCACACGCTCAAATAAAGCCAATAGTAGAAGAAACCTTTAAATAGTGAAAATCCAAAAGCACAAAAAACCATGGTTTTCGAACCGTCATTGACCCGGACAGACGAACATTTCGGCCCAAGAACCGTATAGGCAACCGGTTCCGTTTTACCCCAATCTCAGTCCCTGGCCAAAAACTGTTGAATCGATCAACGACCCATTGACCTGGGTGGTCGAAATGTTGACCCGTTCAATGTTTTTGACCTTTTTTTTATTTTTTTAATTGGGAACCATCCAAGCAACCAGTTCCGTTTTATCCCAATCCTAGTCCTTAGCCAAAAACCGTTGAATCGGTCAATGACCCATTGACTCGGGCGGTCGACCCGTTGACCCATTCAATGGTTTCTGGCCGCTTTTATTTATTTTTTTTAATTTTTGTTGTCAAAACGGGTCATCCATTCGAATCAAACGGTCAAACCGTCGATCCAAAAACCGGTGGCCATAATAGTTCTTTTTTCAGGTCGTATGAGTCACACACCCGGATGACATAACATGTATGATACTGCTTAATGGACCTCACACACTCAATTTTTTGCCTGTAGTTTTTGTTGTCAAAATGGGTCATCTGTCAAACTGGTCAGTCGAACTACCGCTTTTTTTTATTTTTTTAATTAGGAACCGTCTAGGCAATCGGTTCCGTTTTACCCCAATCCCGATCCCTGGCCAAAAACCATTGAATCGGTCAATGACCCATTGACCTAAGCGATCGAACCGTCAACCAATTTGACTCGTTCAATGGTTTTTGGTCATTTTTTTTTTAATAGATCATCCATCCGTTCAAACCGAACAATCGAACCGTCAACCCAAAAAATGATAGCCAGAACGGTTCCATTTTCAAGTCGTATGAGTCACACACTCAAATGGCATAACACGTATGATACTGCTTAATGGACCTCACACATTCAATTTCCCCTGTAATTTTTGTTGTTAGAACGGGTCGTCCGTTCGAACCAGACAGTCGAACCGTCAATTCGAAAGTCGGTGGCCATAACAGTTTCATAATTTTTTGCTTGTAATTTTTGTTTTTTGTTGTCAGAACGGGCCATTCATTCAAACTGGACGGTTGAACCGTACCCAAAACCGATGGCAATATATATATATATATATATATAGGGTCGGTTATATGAATCCTAATTCACCATTCCATGTTGTTCATTGCCACATCCATCATCAAATCATAGGTGTTTAAATTATTTCTTTCAACTTCCACCCAAGTCCCTTTTTAACTTCTCTTAAGCCTCATTTGGTTTGCAAGAATAAGGGTCTAGAATCGGAATCAAAATGGATTATTTCAATTCCAACTGTCTGGTTGGACGGAATTGGAATCTAATTTCCATTCTTGATATAATGGCATTCCCCCATTTGAGGGAATGGCAATTCCCCGCCAGAATAAAACCCCATTCTATTTGATTCCAATTCCTATTCCCATTCATGTCTGAACTAAACAGACCCTTAGTTCTTTTAGCCCCCTTAACTTGTAAGTTGTAACATATTATTTCTCCCAACTCATGTATGCATACAAGTAAATCAATTCATATAATATTATGTGTTTTCATTTTATCACATATTGGATTCATAACTTCATTCCTGACTAAACCTATTCAAGGGTCAGGCTTTCACTCTTCATTAATAGGATTTCTTCAAGCTTGAGTCCAAGCCCAACCCAACCATCGAGCCTACAACTTGGGCCCAAGCCCAACCCTCATAGAAGCCCGAAGCCCATACTCAAGCCTTAAGTCTGGCCTGGAATCCAAATAAATATCATTGGAAACAAGTTAAAGATGACTAAAAAATATGCATTGAATACCAATTGGGGTAGGTTTTAAGGCTTTAAGAAACAAACTTGCAAATGACCCACAAATCCAATCAATAAAGAAAAAAAAATCAATCAAAACTATAATAATCATAGACATATAGATAAAATCAAGTAAAAAATAGATAATCCATCTCCAAAAATAAGAAGATCTCTAAACCTTAAGCTTTGAGTAGAAATCAAAACACGCTCAAGGGTGTGGATATATGAGTTTATAACACCCTCCTTTTAGTCAAACTCTATTGAAGAACCACTAATCATAGTACAGTCATAGACTTATGCAGTGGTGGTGACTGTGGGAAAAAAGGGAAAACACAGTTATTGACTTATTGTCTTACAAAATACACACATTGAGAGAAGACTTGGTCAGGCTTGGAGAGGTGGTGCTCTGTTCTCTACTTTGTCTAGGCGATGACTGCCTAACTAGTGATTGGTGAGTGCGAAGTGGTGATTGTGTTGTTGCCGCTGCCACTAAACAGAGAAAAGGGGCACATTGAGGTTGAACAAGGAGAAGGGTCAGAGGAGGAGGCAATGCCAAAGATAAGGGTTGTCGTTGCTAGCCTGAGAGTTGATTGTTGAGAACTAAAAGTAAAAGTCTAAGAACCCAACCGAGTAAGAATCCAGGAGATCACGACAAACACTAATTTTAATTTTGAATTGTCATGAAAAAAATATATTTATGTATATATAATATTATATGAAATAGTCAGACCTGACTTTTTTGACAAATCACAAGCTTTCTCGAAAAACAAATGGGCTTGGTATTTTGGGCCCGAAGTTAAGCCCATGGGCTTAAGAACATGTCCAAGCCTGACTGAAGAAAGTCGAGCCATTGGGCTACCCGACCCATGATTTAATAAGTTATTGATAAGTGGAGCATTTTATACATTGAACTTTCAGCTCCAGTAATGGCCTCTTAAGTTAGCATTGCATTTTCAACCTATGATACACGAATAAGAAGATACAACAAAATGCCACGCAAGCCATATGACCGTGAAATATTTGGCTTTATCTAGTTGTAGGTATAATCACTTTTTCATGTGGATATTGAAACCATATCTCTTGCATTTTAAAGAAAAAGAGAAAAAAGTCCAATGAGGTGACTTTAACATTCACAGTCCTACAATTAGGTGTTGGTAGACCTTTTCATGGGTCGGGTAGCCTAGCTAGCTAGCTCAGTTTGGCTTATTCTTTGTTAGGCTTGGACATTATTTGAGGCTTTCAAGCTCTGGCTTGACTTATTTAGGTTGGGCTCGGACATTTTTCAAAAAAGCCCAACCTGAGCTCAAACCCAAGCCCAATAATACTTTATACAATAAAATATATATAATATATTTTTTATGTGTTTTTCTTATCTTTTATTGAGCCATAATTAGATCTTTCAACTTTGTGGTTTCTAAGGTCATTTAATATAAGTAAATCATTTTTTATTGAATAAAAACAAAAAAAATGCCCAATTTATAGGCCAATCTTTAGGTTCGAGCTTAAGCTTTAATGTATAATGTTAAGAAAGAGACAAAGCTTGGCCTAAACCTGGCTTATGAATAGGTAAAGTGTAGGGGAATTGGGTAAGGGAAAGGCATTCTTGTGCCTCAAAAAGTAGTGAAATATGCATCCTGGACTAAGTTTTATATGATTTGAGTTCAAGATTGGGATGGGGCATGAAAAACCCTATACCACCCCGTCTTGTTGCCATTCCTAGTCACTGCCCCGTCCCCATTTAAGATTGGGGAAGACGCACACCAT